GTGGGGTAGGAGTACATCCCGCTATTTTTGCTCGATTTTGGCGCGCTATAAAACCGAATTTTTTTCGCGCTCGCTACGCTCGCGGTCCTTTGATGGGGGAGTGCGTAAATTCTGCTTCAGTGCAGCTACCTGCTTTTACGGCTGCTTTATAAGATTTATTTAAGCGCTCAAAATAGCATATTCGTGCTCCTATGCCCCAAAATTTTTTCGCGCTCGCTTCGCTCGCGGCTATTACGCGCTGTTGCAATGGAGGGATTTAATATTAGGGCAACTGGTACAACTCCTAACTGCTGCTGTTCGGTGACACGGAAATGGTCTGGAAAAACTGTCCCTCCCGGGCTTAAATAACATGATCTCAAAGTCTACTATGCGCTATATCTAGCCAATATTTAGAGCTCAAGCAAAAAAACAACATACTTTTTAAAATAAATGCAGCGTTAGATTCTTCATAGCGTTTCGCTCCTTTCCGCATGTCTAAAAGACACAGGAACAACATAAAATTGTAATGGTAAGAAAGCATAAAAGTGCAAAAATATCCCATTAAAACAAGTAAAATGTTTCTATCATTTATCAAGCAGTAAGTACACTCGAGTGCCTTGCCTCACTGGGTCTGGCATCTGGCCCTTTCTCCTTAAGACTTAAGACTCTTGTCGCGTCGGTCACGGAGGTAATTCGTTTCCGTCCAGAATTTTTCTCGCTCGCTTCGCTCGCGATTTCTTTGATCTTTAACGATCTTTCTACTGTGAGCCGTCCAAAACCAAACCGCTACACGAGTGTCGTGTCTTTGTGTTTTGTGTAGTGAATAGCATAACAGAAGTACTGAGTCGTTTCGATAATTGCAAATTTTAACTGAATAATTGCACCTGCCTCCTGAGAGATAAGCAACTTAGTAAGTACCATGACGGTCCCGTATAACCACCATTCACCTTTCACTAGATCTGTGCATAAGTAGAGTAACTTAGTATGTATTATGTATTAAGAAGAAAAAAAAAATGAAAGGGGAGGTCAGATGATGAAAAGGGAGGGTGTCAGCGTACTCTGACCCACCTCGGCGAAATCGTTTGGGCGCCCCTGATCTACGGAGCTGGAGCTACCGAGACATTTGGGAGCCTGTGCGACATAGAAGCATCTCTATCTAAAGGTGGCCCCATGGTGAACTTTATCCTCGACGTTACCTAAATGCACCCCCCCCCCCCTTTTCGTGTTATTAGCAGTCTATAGTTTACTTGGTCAACACAGTACAATAAAGATGTCACTACTGCCTCTGAAGTTCCTATCTTTACTTGAACCTCCACACACCATATGCTACGCTCTAATAAAAAAAATGTATGGATTTTGTCTAACTCAGTTCACATGTCTAGGTTCTGTCCGGACAGAGATTGGTCGGGAGCGTGTCTGGAAAAGGTTTATACTTTTGTCAGGATGTCTATGTCTAGATTTCGTCTGTTGTCTGGATCGTGTATAGAAATAAACGTCTAGAATATTGTCTAGAATATGTCTTGAACCTGGAACGTCTCTGTGCAGATGTCTGAAATTCGTGTGGGTTCTGTGCAGTAATAATGAACAATGAACACCGACGCCAGGGTGCGCGCCTGCAGCGGGATGGGTAGGCCAACCCGCTAAGCAGCTGTGTGGAGTTCGCGGCCCACCCTGGCGGGGGCCCCCGCCGGCTCGGGAGGGAGGCGAGAGGGTGCAACGGAGCGTTTGGGCGCCGAACGTTTCGTAGCGTCAAGCCAGGTAGGGTAAAGTTCATTGTGGGGGCACCTGCTTGAGCTTCTGCGCTGCGCGACAAGACCTTTCTCAAGGATGCAGCTCTACTTATCAGGAGGTGGTTTCAAACTTTTGAAAATGGCGCCCTGACTGAAAACAAAATAACGTGTGTGCTGCCCTCTATAAACAAATAGACAGACGACAGAAGACTATCAACTCCGGCTTAGACTAACCTGTCAACCCCTTAAGCAATTACATTGTTTTAAAGTGTGTTTTCGTCTACAGTTTGAAGGCGAACACCTTCATATTGGAATTGTAAACATGTTATCTCGATCTTCGTTGCTTTTTTGTAATGGACTCCGCAATTGTCATGGAAGGTACTGTGCTGTTACTTTCAGCCAAGATATTTTCTGTCCCTCATTTGAGAGATGCATTTTTGTGTTGATTAGAGTTAACCAAACGCGAGCGTGATTTTCACGCTTCGTAAGCTCTACGCAGCTAATGAGGGGCCGACTTTGCTTACGCCTTGCGGGATAATCGCTGTCGCGTTTCGTTACTTTAAATCCAAACTCCAAACTCAGCTCCTTGTTATTCCTCAGATATTCTGTACTTACTCTCTTTGTTTTCTAGTAAATTAATATTTTTTTCTTCACAGAGACCTCATTCAACCACTCAAAAAACGTCTGCTTGACTCAAAGTTCCAGAAAAATTCCTGCAGGGATTCATCTAGGTTTTCCCCTCGACGCAGTGCTTATAGAACTGAACCTACGTTTCTATCTCAAGTAAAAGTTCCATTACTTTTTACAGCTGCAGTAAGTTTACAAGAGTTTTCTATAATATCATTAATTTTTTTATTACCAGCACTTTTTATATTTAATTATTTTAACATGAAATTATCAATTTTATATTTTCGTAGACTGGATCAGCGTGTTTACTTGGTCATAAGTATTTAGGAACGTTGGTGTCACAAAGATCTTATGACTCTAGATCGGTAAAGTTGATGTCAAATGTCTATTTCATTTGTTATTCTTCTATCCAATTGCCTTCCTATACTCAAAAATATATTTCCTCACAGGCATTTAACTGGTGGTCTTCCAAGCCTGATTGGTTCAAGACATACTGGTTGATTTGTGGTAGCTGTGTCACTGTATTTGCAAGCTACAGATTAGCAATGCTGTCAGCCAGGCAGGTTCCCTCTTTCCTACGATTTATGCAAACATACTTTGTCAATAAAGGGAACCCAAGTGAGTACAAGTACTTGCATTTGTGTGTAGTTTTTGTCACTTTTCATGCTGTTGTTAAACAAATAATAAAATTTGTAGGTAATGCCCTTGAATCATGTGTGCAGTTAGTCCTATCATCTTTCTGCCATATATCACCTTTGCATTTGGGAATAAACATGTACATATTGTACAATGTTACAGAAGGTGAGTAATACTCACTGAGTATGTTATGACTTATTTTATCTGCCATGAGAGAGTATAGTATTGGTTTACTTTTGACTAATGTTTTTTTTGTTTTCGTTCCCTTTCAATTTTCTTCGATAAATATCACCTTTACTTTTCTTTCTAGCTCTGGCTCCGGAAATTGGTAAGGAGAGATTCTTAGGTGCATATTTATTTAGTGGAGTTGTATCTGGCTTTACTAGCACATGCTACCAGCTTATATCAGGCCGCTGTCAAGGTGCCGTAGGAGCTGTGAGTTTAAAACATTATCTGCCTTGTGTTATTATGACAGTCGAAATAAGTATTAATTTGCATTTTATTTTTCTTTGTTGCAGTCTGGTGCAATTTTAGGTCTATTGGGCATGGTAATATTGAGGCACCCAGAATATAATTTCCACATAATATTTTTGCCATTTCTCACAATTCCTGGGCCTGCGGTAAGCACATACATTTTGTTTTCACTTTTCTTACTACACATACATCCCACAATGAACATTACCAAACACAATGCGAGGTAAAGCTGGCTGACAAACAGGGACTAGTAAAGTAACATATTGTTGTTACATTACAAGCTCACAGGTAAAAACTTTTATGCCCAGAATCTGTTTGTAGCATTATTGTAAAGTAACTTAACTGCACCCATTTATTTTACCCAGTATTTTAAGGGTAACACATTTAATAAAGTTATTACTTTTGGGGTACTTAGTTGGTTCATGGGACTCAGTCTACAGCTCATTAAATGAATAACATGGGATATTTAGAAATAACTTGTCGGCCTATGGAGATAATAAATACTTTTTTTTTAAGGAACCTTTTCAGGAACGTGATGTAAAAATTAGCATTACAACTCAAAATTTAGTTAAGTTTTGGGTCCCTGATAACTAACATTATTTTGGACACCGCCTCGTGGTTAGTCAAGTCAAGATTCCACTGTAGGTGCCTCCGGATAGGCAGCGGCTGTCCCCCCACAGCTGCTTGATGGGATGGGCTACTCAGCTCGCAGCAGGCGCTTTTATTTAGAGTTGCCTCTTGAGACGTTCATTGTAGGGACATCTTGAATTTTATCTACTCACACTTTTGTTTTTGCAGGTCTTTGCAGGGATGGCCACAATTGATTTTCTTGGCTGTCTCAGAGGATGGGCATTTTTTGATCATGCTGGACATCTTGGAGGACTATTTAGTGGAGTGTAAGTGACTTGCCATTTTCACCATTTCCCTTTTTTTTTTTAAGTAAATTATCTAAAAAATTGTTTGTCCTATTTCAGAGTTTGGGAATTTGTTACTGGCAAAAGTATTACCAAATCATTTGCATTCTTTAATGAAGCAGAAACCAAACCTGGTAATAAAAAATCATAGTACTCTACTTAAGAAGCCTCTATTACACCTTAATCTCAATAAAAGTTCTCCTAAAAGTTTTATTCTCTGTGTTTGTTCTTTTCCCTTTTTCATGTGATGGAATGACAAAGTTGAAAAATCAAACTTATTTCTTATTCAAATGTACAATTTTGTTGTATCACAATTTTTTTACTCATACGTGTATGCCTAGACTTTTCTCAAGGCCTAGATATGACGTTTTCTTGTTTTCAAAAAGTGCTCCTTGTTGAGCATCCATTGACTATCGAATATGACTTAATTTCCCATATTTCTTTAAACTTTGTAACGTAGGGCCCCGTGCGTTAACATTATGCACGGGGTAGCTGAGCGAAGTTCATTAAAATAACAGAAGATGTAACAAATTTAGAACGAAACTATACATACAAAACTATACAAACATAATGAATGAAAGTCCGCCTAGTAGGTAGGCAACCTATTCTGCTCCTTGAACGTGACAGATGGGGGGAGGGGTCTGTTTCAATTAGTCCGTCTCTATAGGGAGCCGTCTAAGGGATAAGAATTGTGTCTCAAGATGTATGTGCATTTTTGCGCAACCTTCTAGGCATATCTCCCACCTCCCCCACCCCAATTTTTGTTCAGTGAAGTACCCCACCACCACCTTCAACCCCTCCTGCCAGCCGGACCTTCAACCGCGGCCTGGTCTGGTTGGGTCGCTGTATTCAACCAGATTTCAAATCCCTTGCACCCCCCCCCCTCTCTCTCTCTCTACAACAAGTACTTTAAGTGAGTAGTGAACTTGAGTAATTACTATGCAATAGAATAGATTTGGAAGTCCACTAGAAAAGCTTGATGCTGGGAAGACTGGTTTCTATCCATCAAAATACATGGTTGATTTGTTCTGGTAACAGTGGCTGGATATAGAGGGGGGAGGGGGGTGGGGGGGCTTAAATTTGTGCGTTCCTGAAGTTCAGATACAGAACATGTCTGCTACTGTCCCTTCCTATCCCCACTGCCCTCCCCCTACTTAATTTACCCTTTTCTGTAATGCCACATGATGCATCATGCTCCCATTTCATTCAATTCATTTTATTTGTGAAAGGTGAAATTCTTTTAAGTTGCCTCTAGTTGAAGTGAAATTAAATATTTAATTTAATTTCAAAATACATTTAAACTTCTCATTTACGACAAGTATAACTTGTCGCTCTTTCATTCATTTTTATCAGATCTCTCCGAAGCTTGTGAAAGATCACGAGTCGCTGAGGTATATTTAATTTAAGTTC